ATTTAGAATATGAGTGAGTACACATAAATTCCGGTTTAGTAACTTGTAAGTTAGACAGCCGTTTCAGTTGGTTCTAAATTTCGATTTGCTTGCTGCATTTGCGTTGAATCCCCAGTCGGTCTGGCTTATCCAGAAAATTAATTGGCTGGTCAAACTGGAGTTCTTTATTTTTTTTTCAAAACACTATGCGTTCACTACAAATTGATCGCGCGCTAACCATAAAGAAGTACGTTGTCAAGGTAGGCAACACGTTGTATCCTTGACCTGAATGTCACTATTCACTGTGGTAATAAAATGGAGCATCACGGAAATTTGAAGGACTTTCTACACAGTTGTCTTTCAAAACAGTGCTTGAAAGTAAACAGACCGCAGTAGGAACTGAGAATTACATTCTGACGCGGTTTTTGATGTTTTAGTCCGAATGGACATCAGTGAGGAGACTAAGATTTTACGGCCTCACTCTGAATCTTTCCGCTGGACTGATAATGATGATTTCAAATGCTTTATAACCAGGCAGCTGAGCTACCAGGTTGTCCTTTAGTATCATTTCATGACTATCCATCCAATATCGGGACCAAGTGAAACCAGAACCTCAAAGTTATCTTGCTAGCGCGGACACAAACTTCCTCCATTTTGATTCAGCGCCGGAGAAAAACCCTGGTTTAAACAAGAACACCAATAACACTGACCATCCGTTTACACTTATTCTTATTTTGCGTACGAGTAACCAACACGAAGCTATGCGAATAGGGGGGCATATTGCTGAATTACTTTAGTACTGATGCAACCACCATACATAAAAGACTCTAGATTGCGTTTCCGTAACAAGAATTTACCCGGAGGTTGATGTTATGGGTGAGACTGTATCTGGAGTTGTTTTTCAGAACATACATGCACTTATATCCCTGCGGTAAGCGAAACGTAACTCCATTAGAAGTTCGTGCTTTGTTCACTCACTATAACATATTACAGTCTAATGATAATCCAAAATGAGCAGTGCTTTATCACTGGCACGAGGGTAACTCATGCTTGAACAAATAGGCTGTTGAACTTGGAAGGCGATGCGTTGGCCCAGGGAAGAGGCCAAATGTAAACCACGTGCATCTGGTTGGTGCGGGACTTGGTTTGCCATGAACCACAGATGACTCAGTGGTTTAGGCGCGAAGATACTGACCGGAAGGTTTGTGATTCGAACCCGGTTTCCATATTTCAGCTATCTCTATCGAGGTTTAAGAATGCTGTCCATAATTAGGCACTCTCACTTTCTCCCAGAAGCGTCGGAGTGAAGCTATGAAAGGGAGCCAAAGCTGAAAGACTCCTTTAAACTTTAACTTTGAGGGCTTGTTCCTAACACCTCTGAAAGCTTAGAACTTTGGAAGAGAGATGCTGATTTTTACATCCATCTGCGAGCAATGAAACACCAGGAGAAATATAGTCATGTACCAGACATAACTTGCAACGAATTTTTGTTTTAATCGTTAAAGACTGCGCACACCTCTTTATGAGAACAAAGCGATGATGTACATCTACGCGTCCGGTTAAATGGTGCCACCCGACGTCCGGATGGTGGCTACTTAACTGGAGTTTGCGTGCATCGTATGTTTTCAATGTAGCTTTTTGTTCATTCGCCTCCAACTAAGTGGTGGGTTGGACCTGTATTCTGTCGAAGTGTTTTCCTGAAATTTTGCGAGTTGTCTTCTGTACATTGTGAGAAGGATATTACAGCTTTACTCAGCTTGCTTATGGTGTGTGACATAATCGAGGGAGTCTGTTGAGGCCAGAGTTGTGACGCACCCTGACTTTTTAATCACTCCGGTTTGGTTTTGGAAATCTGGCAGTGTCCCATAATTAATATCCTTTTCTGGCTGCCTTACCAAATGATTACGGAAGCTAAACGAGTTAATTTTGTTCGGAAGTGAATAGGGTGTTACTATATGATATTTTCTATGTTATCATGGGGTGAGTTCCATCTGATTTAAGCGGCCTTTTCAGTAGAAACACGCGAGAGACGACCAAGCAACCGCTGTTCACTGTTCTTGGTGCACTGCTCCAAAAGCTGCCACACACTTCCAGATGTCTTTCTCAAACACATTCCCTAAAGCTGTGTCACCGTAAGTCAAAATGGGTTTGGACATATAACGTTTTTCATGTGTGTATAGGTCTAAAACTCGGACGTGATGAACAGCAAGTGAAACGTTCATAATCAGCAAATATTGAACTACATACTCACCAAATAGTCCTCTTCACAGTAAATCTTTTCTTGGTCCTTGTAAAACACTTTTCCAGACAATGTGCGTTCTGGAAAAAAAGAGAAGACTCGTGGAAATCATGAACAAGAACTTTCATATTGTAACCTGAACAACCGCTGGGTTGAGAAGAGTCTGATTACCGCCTAAAGACCGTCAGACTTTCGGGTAGTTTCCATCTATTCTGAATACAATCTTTAACTGTCCAATGCAAATCAGTTCTCCTCTATAATTAGGCTGTTGGATGACTTATCCGAAGAACGCTGTTCTAGGAATGATTTGGCCTCTTTTTTAGGATCAATAAAACGTGATCTAGGTATGGAAAAATCATTCGAAATACTATTTTACAGCACACGATTGATATGGCAACAATGAACTATGCCCTGAAAATTTCTTCTCTGTACCTAGCCCAGGTCAAGCTGCCAACCAACTCCGCTGACATAATGGTGCCAGTGAAATCAATCTTTTAACGGGTAGGTGACTAAAAAACTCGTGTAGTTGCCAACTTTCTAGTGTGCTGTCTCCTTTTTGATGCTGAGGAACACTTGAAGAGACCAGAAAGGGGTTTATTTGCAAGGGCTCAAATCACAAAGCAAAAACCGCTTTTTTTGTGAAGTAAGTGTAAGCTGGTGGATTCTAGTCTGGTCTTCACAATGCTGGAACGAATGCTGTCGCCTAGCGAAGCACTTGGCATTCAAGGCTGATAAGCTGAATAACACGTATTGAACACTTAACTTTGATTGTTGGTGGAATAGAAGAAGCACCCTTCCTTTAATTTCAGATTTTACAAGGTCCACGTTTTCCCTGGTGGCCCTAATGAATAGAATCCATGTTATTCAAACTGAATGGAAATTAAAAAACTTTCGGTCTCGTCGAACACCGCTGGCCGAACGGAAGATGTATTCGTTTCATAAACTGAATCTCGCGCACCTGGCATATCAACTCCGTTCACGTAGCACGTCTTTTTGAATGGATGCATGTAGAAATTCTATTTATCTTCAAAATCCGAAGGAACTTTTTATTCTACGAACGAGCTGGGCCCCAATTGTGTCGTATGTGGCGTAGCTTTGGTTATTGGTCTCTTACTCTGCTTGTTGCTCTGGGACCGAAATAGGTCTCTTGCCATGATGTAGTCAAGCAGATGCTTGATGAAAAATGGTTTGTTCAAAATTCAAGTCCCGGAAGTTCGCCTACGGAGAATAGTCTTAAATTAGCGGATAAGTCTTTTCAGCTGTCATGGTTTCTATCATATTTTCTGAAAAACTCATGGAATAAAATGACAGATATCCATGCTTCGGACTAATTTCAGCTCGAGTTGTTGGACTACTTGTTAATGTAACCAGTCATTACAACTTAGTGGACCAGGTTTACAAACCGAAAGAAGACTCTGAAAATGCAGAACAGCTTTGCTAAAAGTAAAACTTCAGAAATTGGTGCCTAGATGAGTGCTCTTTCTTACCACTGCTTGAGTAAAGCACCTTTCAAACAGGTAGCTATGTTCTCGCTGGCTTTCTCAGGCGATTAAGTAAAACTAGGCTTCTGCATGCCGCGTAGTTTTCTAGCTTCAGTATTTTTTATGGTCAGATTACCAAGATACCGCTGTGCGAACGCTAACTGCATACCCATGGGAGATTTTGAGTTTTTAATGGAGTTACTTATGAAGACTAAATGTACAGTTAGGGTGTATTGTAGAAATTTGACGTGTACTTCTTTATAAATCCGTTCTGTCCGTCGTTAATGAAGTCCTCCAACAGTCGTCCTCACAGTGCTGTTTGAAGAAGGCTGGTAGCCTAGGTTGTTCAGATAACTACTTGGTTGGGTGACTTGGTTGAAGAAGCTTCATCACAAATCAATTAGATATCGCCGGTGTTTAGTAGATGTAAGCTTGATTGCTAACAAGGCTTTCGCAACCAGACTGCCCAGTTTGGTGAATATTTAACGGTTAGTAATTCGCGCATACTCACTTGATGAGTACATCTAACATGTATAGCATGAAGATTGCGGTATGCAATTTTAACCACTGAGAAAGAAATCCTTTCGGTCAGCTTGGAGGCATTAGGATGGCATCGGCATCAAGGTTAATCACTTTGCCGGGGGAGATATATTTACGGTGAGATAAGAAGATGAGAGGGGTTTGCCCTACAGTAGTACTCCCTCTATCTAAAGAATTTCTGTCTAATGCGACGATGACGATGTGCGAAACGTAGACAATAGCCAAATAAAGCGACTGCTGGTTATCCGAACACGATAGAATGTTTTCTTGTTTTGAAGTTTTCAGAGAGAAAGTGCATCGTATAAAGTCTTTCCGAAAACTAAACCGCAAGTTCAGCGTGTTGAAAAACGTTCAGCTGTAACACTATTTCGGTGCCTAGCCGCCGTGCCACCCGAAGGAAGCACGAGGGCCGGGATGCTGCCAGGTTGACCAAGTCTAGACAAGGGAAATCGAGATGCAGAGGCCGGGTTCGAACCCGGCCGGTGAATTCGCGCTCTGACCACTGAGCAACTTCAGCGTGTTAGTGTCTCATTCGCTTAGTAATTCCTCCCTCTGTTATTCCCATACTCAACTCTATTCGATGACAGTCCCTTGATGCGTTGCACTCAGATGAAAGAGATGATAGTCAGTGGTTATTTTAGCAGTTCTCCCTTCCCAACTAGGATAGATAGCTTGTCCAATAAGGTTTCATTTCTCGATATTTCCAGAACTGTTGGGGGGAAGTTTTCAGAACTATACGATCGGTACAGAATATGATTTGTCGTCAGTCGTTTCGGTAAAGTATGGTGTACAATAGGATCCTCCGTTCCCCATGGCTGAAACCTCTTATTGAATCGAGAGCAATAAAAGTTACTTGGGCAAAACTATTGATAAACAAAGTATTTTACTGACCTCCTGTTCCGTCATAGCCCTTATATGTAAGCCCAACATACGACTAAGTTACTCGATGACTAAGACACCAAAATTCATAGTTCTCTGCTTCGAACGTTAGGTTCTGATGCGATCTCAAAAGCTGATTTTCCAGAGTAGCTTTTGGATGCGGTGGCCCGGATTGGTCTTTCTTTTCATCAGCTCCTTTGGGCTCAACTTTGTTTTCTAGGGAAACGCGCTTTTGTGTAACAGTAGTTCTCAGTTATACTAGGCGCGCGTAGTATATTGCGAAATAATTAATCGCTTAAGCCTAAAAGGATAAATGGTGCACCAGTATTGTACCAGAATGTGCAGTCTTTCATTTGTCCCAAAGGTTAGGGTACCGTTAGAAAAATCCGCGTTACTATCAAGCTCAACTGCAGTGTAATTGAAAAAGGTAAAAACAACTCGGCTTCCAGACTAGACCAGACTAGAGACAGCCCGTCCGATTTCGAGGTACAGTGAGCGTCAAAGCAGATACCAAACAGTGGCGATTGCTTATCGCTCACAAGGTTTATCCATGGATCCTCTTGCGTCGCCTATGTTTAAGTGGTTGAGTCCAAGCGATTTCAGTTGTTTATAGAAATCGCATCCCCATGTCACTTCAGAATTTGCTGACTGAAGCGGCTGCATTTGCTCTACCCCATTCGATCACGTCCCACGTAACAGGCTATTAAACTTCATATCTCTCTGAACTTACCAAGACGAACCAAGTGCAGAGGTCGTAGCGACAGAGTAACTCACTTTCGGTTCCAACATATGAAGTCAGTTTGCTATGCGCCAGCATAAAACACGGACATTTTCTATGATACCCTACCTACTGAGAATTGTACACAACCCCTCAGTCTTGCGAATGTTTCTTCAATCGTTTGTTGTGGAAGAACCGAATTGATCAGAGAAAACTTACGGCAATAACAACAAACAAAACAGGCGTTGTGATACAAATATCCCAGTGCGTGACAGGCATCGCTGAGTTGATTGATACGTAAACCACATTCTGCACAAGGTCCTAAGGCACGGGTTGCGATTCCTGGTGAAATGGATGCAGTGGGTGATGAGTCAGAATCTTGGTTAGATCCAGGAATGGTTATGTGTGGTAGCGACCCTGGTTCGTTATCCTCGCTATCCTTAGATTGATTGACTGCATCATTCATTGGCGAATCCGGTAGCGGCTGTGCTTCCATAGTGGTTTTGGGTTGGTAACGCACGGAACTAGTGATGGTTTGATTTATCGGCATAGTCACAGAGAACGTCCTGTTTAGCGGCCCGTAAGTATCATCACCTGACACGTCTAGACAGTCGCTGTATTGATAGCGATTTCATCCCCTGGTCACTGGTCTGGTGTGGAATGACGAAGCTTACTTTCGCCTTTCGCATGTCTTGCCCGCCGTAGCTGTTTCGTCCAACCGAAATACAGGAACGAGGTTACCGCTTTTCATTGGTTCTTTTGGTTTGGTAAAGGGTACAGGCAACGTGACTATCGATTTAACCAATTGATCCGTTATGCAATGTGTGCATGCACAGGCGACATTGGCACGCGCACTGTTAGTGTGTCGGAGAATTACCGTTCGGTGTCCTGCGCTGGCACATGCCCACACTTACGCACATAGAGCCACGTGCAGATAAAACAATTTTCATACAAAGCAACCTGCATCTTTGCGAGTCACTAGTTGCGAGTACATATCGTGGTAACGAGCACAGCTGGGTTTGCCACGCTGACAGCCAAATGAATGTCACAAACGCGTCGTCACATCTCATGCAGAAAATGTGGGATATTTCAGTGCAAAACCTCAGACCTCGGATTCGAAGGAAATGAGTGCTAGAAAAAAGTACAGGGAATGTGTAACGAGAAATTACACACATACCGAAAAATGATAGGGTTTATTTTGGAGAAACCGATAGACCATAATGTGGTAGGCGAGTGTAACGTCTAGATCAAACTTCTGGGCTTGATACAACAAAGCTGAAATGTTGGAGACAATAAGAAGCAATGAGACTGGCATTTGCGGCCAATTAGCGTGATTTTTCCGCATATCGAAATCCAGCACGTCGTCAGTGCATCATCCTAAAAGAGGTCACTCCCCGACATCTTCATGCAGTGCAGAGAATCTGTGGGTCGCACGTGAATGTCGTCCTGAAGCCAAGGCTGTGTTACCGAAACAAGGGATCTCAGTACAGTCACCATGCTTTTGTCAATGCACTCTCCACATCAGTCAAACTTTTAGAGGGTTCCCACAGCGTTGCATCCATACTCCGGGGTGCATCCAACAGTCCCGCTAATCAGGTTAGCCGCATGCGCAATGATCCAATACGGCGGTCCGTCACGAGGATATGGGATTCACAGATTCTCATGGGCTTCCGAAAGGGCTTCACACTAAGTCATATGGTACGGGGATTGCTAATGTGTTTTCTCAAAGTAGATGGTCCATATTAGGACAGAGCCCCGTTGGGGGCCGTTACGTTTACTGTTCATGTTATCCATAACAAAATGAGTGCGATGAGGCTGTACAGAAAGAGCAAGGGTAGGGGAGAACAGACCGAAAAGTTTGAGATCGACTGGTTTGGAGGGCGAAGAGAATAGCCACACTGGTCAAGGTATGAACCTTTAGCAAACGTTGTCGGTCATGTGCTTAGTAGTTTCAACGGTTTCAGAGTACATGTTTTTGGATTCACAGAACGTCACTGAATTAGGGAAGTAAAGAAAGCGTGGGCGATTACAAATAAGTGTTGGCAACGTTGTGGAATATCAGTGAGCACAGGGGGCGTAATACTGGATAGGCTGATATGTGCCAGTACATCAACTGCGAGTAATTCATGCCACATTTATCGGGGAATTTGTCTCATTTTGTATGCTAGAGTTCATGCAATCACCCCAACAATTCCAAGTAAACTGCCCAGTCCAGTCCCTATTTGTGAAAATTATGAAATCTTGACTTCGAAGGCAGTGATATGGATCCGGTTTCATCTGAAAAATGATTGATTTATTTCGAAATAAGTGACCAGAGGACTATCAAATTTGAGGTCCTTTTGTAAACACTCAAAATTTATTTAAACGGAATTTTCGTTTACTGTGAACCAGTGGTTGAAAACCGCAATATGTTTTCACCTAAACGTGACTGGTATTGTATGTTTTTCCCGCTGCTTGTAGTGCATGCAGCACATGCTTGTGTAGAATACCGCCGCAATTCAATGCAAAAAGACAAACCAGCGAATAGAGGTGCTTCTGATATACAAGTTAAGAGTTTTTTTTACGTCCTTATTTATGAAACGTGAGGTCGATGAAAGCGGTGGACAGCCCTATTACCACTTTTGCCCTTCTTGCTGCCCGGCATGTGGACTCATCCCTCTCAGCTCCATGAAGCTCATTTATCACTTGCACATCGATTTGTATGTATGCTGTTATTAACCCTCATTTGATCTTGACGGAAGACTCAGTCAAAGCTCACCTGAAAGTCCCGTTCATGACATGTGGGAGGTTGACCGGCAGCCAATCTGAAGTCCTCCCTATGGGGATCCCCAGAAGAGGCCAGATGGCTATAGCACGTAATTTCCTACAACTCCAAGGTTGAAAAAAATCGTTCAGCTGTAGCACCCGTTCAGTACCTAACTGCCATGCCACCCAAAGGAAGCACGAGGGCTGGGATACTGCCAGGTTGCCCAGGCCTAGACGGGGGAAGTCGAGAGGCAGAGGTCGGGTTCGAACCACGGACCTTCTGGTCAGTAAATTCGTGCTCAAATAACCACTTGGTCCATCTCACCCCAAGGTTGGCTACCATACAAAGCACAAGAGATGCAAAGGGTCTCCAAATCGCTCAGGACCAACGAATGACCTCAAATCAGAAGCAGTGGAAAAGACTGATTGCTTCCTCTCTATAATTTACTGGATGCTCAAATTGCTAGGCGTTATAAATGGGTAAGATAAAAACACACTTTGTCGCTATGGCAACAGTATGAAATTACAGCCTACAAACAGTCGACCACGGCCTCCACATTGTTCACAGCATTCTGACGACAAGGAGTTTAAAATGTTCTTTCAGACGATGGACAAAGTTTTGCGAAACGCTATTTGACATAGGTACTCTGAGCACATGTGTATGTTGAACTGAACTTATAACGGAGTTGTCGTGGTGATCCTAATTTGTCCTCAGAGAGTAATATCTATTGAAGCCTCATCCTGTGGTGGAAAGGCTAAGGATACGGTTGGGAACTGAAACGGTGCGGAGCACACAGATGGAAAAAACTGTCCAGCGTGCTGTACTAGCAATTGGGATGGATGGGTTGTAGCTCGTATCCCCAACAACCTTTACGGAAGGTACACAAAACACACGATGTTAACCTGTAAGCCATACCGCCAACCAAAAAGTTTTTCCATTCTCTACGCACTTCTGGAAATTTGCGGGTCTGAGTTTGTGTGACCTAAAAATGGATTCGAACAAACAAATTCAAGCTTACCATAGGGATATTCTTGATCTCTTTTAAGACAAGCCATTGTGATTTGTCACCCAAACATGAAAAAAGCACATATGCAAGAATGGCGCATCCCCAAGGTCACCATCGGTACGACACGTTTCGGATAGCAGGTGAGTTGGCGGAGCTCACCAAACACGGCTTAGCAATATAAGACCAGCGAAGTGAAACTGAAAGTGTTCACGTCCGGAACGTCGCCACTGACTGTACATAACGAACGAGTGAACGGCCATAATTGGTCCTGCAGTCATCGTATACATTTACGCAGAAGCTCTGTATGTTTTGTCCTGGCAATACATCCGTGTCCAGGGTTCTCTGTCTTCCCCTTGTTCCTCAATACAGGCGGAACCAATAAACGGCCACCCACGATACAGCATGAATAAAACACTCATTGACTGGTATCATCCTGTATTCCATCTCTTTGAGCTTTCCAATACGTCTCACATAAATGTATTTCACTAAACTCATTCGCATCATTTCGCAGATTCTTCTGCTTTGAAAGTGTACAAAACAGCGTCTATTCTACGACTGTTGGAGCAATCTCAAGCTAAATTTTCCGCTGGATTTAAGTTGAGTTAATCGCAACGCGAATAATGACTTTACTTACAATTAGAAAAAATGGTTCAAGCGATTGTCTGATCGTCTAGGGACAGTCCAGACTCTAAGTCCAGTACTCTAGAGACTGAATCTCACAATTTCGTGGAACACTTCGCATCTGTAAGCCCACCCTGTATACGCAAAGAATAGATGTATGTAACTAATCACCTGTTAAACCGGTGGATTCTCAGTTCAACTGTTTTTTGTTTAAATCGAATATATGTATACTCTTTGGTAGGAACCGCTCCATGTAACCCAGACACTGTTTTTTATGAACTAAACGAATGAATAATTTTAACCAGGAGTTCCCTTATGATAAACCGTGAGCGACAAGTATACAAACAGCTTTTAGCTAAGGCAAGTGATTAGCTGGTTATTCTCCATCTACGTTCTTGCAATCAAATCGATTTTCTCAAATTTTACGATGAACTAAAATGTGTCGCTTCCCAACTTTTTTCTCCGGCCACGAAAACGTCACTTTGATGAAAAATAAACCTCGGATTTAATCTGTCTGTCATCGTCAGTAGAAGTAAGTTCAACCATTCTGATACTTGCTTTTTGCATGCACCCTAGTAGACGGCACATTTCCAACAAGGAATTAGTCCCGAGGATTTTTTCACACAGGAAACTACTCACAAGGTTGCTGAAAATTCGTCGACAGCCCACGACCGGTTTAACCCTTCTTCGGGTTCATCAGGTAGGCGCAGTTCCCGAGTTTCCGTCAACCTTATGTTCTACTCGAGGATTTTCACCTTGTTAATGAAGAATAGTTTCTATCCGAACCGATCTGAGTCGCTTGCAATTCCTCTTATGGCCACCCACTTCTGGTGTTTATGTCATAAGCCAATGTGAACAAAGCATCATCCCTCTCTCTTTTGGAGAGAGAAAAGTAAATCCGGTTATATCAGGTCGATTGTAGTTTGTATGTAGAATAGCGTAACATCCAGGGGCATCGTAGACATGTTGATAGTTGGACAGAAAAAGACGTGTTATCACAGAACGGGTTGTTAGACAGGCCATGACATGACAACGTGAGATGTGATCCACGCTCCTTCCTGGCTGAGACCCAAGTAATCCTGCTTGTAAGTGGTCGGAAACCCTGCAGGACAAGGCACACAACCAAGTCCAGCGGCGCGCATGCTATCGCTTCCAAGCCCAACTACCTAGCTAAAGTCTTCCTGCCTTCGTGCATTGGACTTAGGTCGAGTGGGATTCGCTTTGATCCTGCTAATGGAGCCTCACTTGCAAAAAATGCTCAGATGTGTTTATTCCAATGCTATCCAAAGGTGTCAGCACCCTATTCCTGAGAGTTTCCCTTAAGAACACAAGGCTACTTCGTAATGAGTCCATACACTTCCCTTTTCTTTCCACTCTCTTCTAAGGTTTTCTCCTCTCGTAGTTGTAAGGCAGTTAAGCATCAGTGTGTATTGCTGTCAATGATTGTGATGATCCACGATAGTCTCATATGTTTAGGTCTGTTTGAGCCGACATGCCGAGTTCAATGACCGTTCTATCAAAAGAAACTCAGCAGGCCAAGTAAACACCACAGCTGCACATCCAATTCACATCAAATTACCCACCTGTCAAGATGACTTACTGGTATTAATTGGTGATTGCGTTGAGAAAGAGTACAAAACTGGTCGTAACCGGTGATCAATAAAACACTATCGGAACCACAAACCTCGGTCCAATTTGATTAGTACAGAACTCAACGATAGCAGACGAAAACTATCGTGAATAAAAAGAATGACAGAATCAAGATTTGGTTGGTTGGCAAAACCAACTATGAGGGATAAAAAAATCAATAAAGGAGTTGTAAATTGGTTGGCAATTTTTACGCGCATACCACTCCATAGAATACAAACACATCATTTGTCCCCAACCAGTGAACAACAAAACCCATATAAGCACATTCCAACAGCGCGATGATCCCTTCAAATAGACAAAGGGATATCCAGCAAACGCAAAGAATACGAAAAGAACTGGGTAAAAAAACCTGAAGGTCGAAGAGAGGATATATTCGTGAACCGCAGCGGAAAGCCAGAAGACCACTGCAGTTGCGATCGATTTAGAACGAGGGGTACTGTTTATCCTCTGGATGTCATTGTAAACATAGGTGTACAACCAGTCATGAACCACAACGTTCCATGTACGGTACCAAGCACTAAATGCCGTGGAATTCCACCAATCCTTGTAGAACAATCGATCGCCAAATCGTAGCATCTCTGCGAACGCATTCAACCATGAATGGAGGGCGGCAAAGAAGGTGAGAAGCATCACAAGTCCACCTGGAATGCTTGTAGCTGTGGAAGTGAGGATGAACTGACGCAAAGTGTAGTCGGAAGTCCGACCGAATTCAACAAACTCCGTGAAACAAAATCGTATTAAAACATAATAGCTTAGTAGCACACATCCACCGACTTGTAGGAAATTTGAAGCAACGTAACTCCAACGAATATGTTTCGTACGTGGGTAGGATTCTCGGTAGACCAGAGTGGGAGCAAACAGAAAATAAAGGTAATGGGAAAAATCGGGGCTCCAGGAATGCGCAAAATTATAGTTGATCTTGTGATCTTTTTGTTTGTGTTTAGAATCCTCTAGCCTTTGGAATGCTGTTGAGACGGAAGTCCGTATGAACGCATGCGACTTCATAAACATACGGACTTGTTCCAGGACAACTGTCGCCGTGCTGGCAGGTGGAAGTTGGTGGTGAACGGTGAACTGAACGGGAATGATCATGAAGGCGATCTGAAAAATAGGAAGATGGTTAAAGCGTAACAGTGACATAAAACAACCTATTTGTATGCGAACAGCGGCAGTGCGATGGGTCAACCCTGAAGTTTCCAGGTCCTTATCAATAGTGGGCAAGCCTGTTGTAGTGTAAAAATAAATGCAGCTGGAAGCTCTCCCCTCAACCGCGTACTATTCCAATTTATCGTGTTCAACGGCTTTGTAGACCACGTTTTCACTACGACAAAAATGCAATTCACCGTCCAAGATACCTTGGACCATTGATCGCGTTCTTGAATAATTAGTCAAACTATGACTTTGAACGGACTCGGACAGGTCTTCACCCACGGCTGATGCAAACATCATGTTTACATACTGAGTGGCCAGTTGGAGCCCATTGGTGAGTGTGTTGTGGATAAGAACGGATATGCTGAGGGTTAATACAAGGACTGATGATGTTCGCGTTTAACGAACTGCACGACAGCCCAGAACGCAAAACTGTAGAGCAAAACAGTGGATTCAGTCAGATCACAATGCGTTTAACGAACTGCACGGCAGCCCAGAACACAAAACGGTAGAGCTAATAGAATGCGCCATACACGTTATTCTCGAAGCAAAACAGTGGATTCAGTCAGATCACAAGTGACACCTTATCTGAAGGCTAACTGGAGGATAGAAACTAGATCTGGAAAGTACGTACAACATACGTACGTACTAGCTATAGTAAACTTGCCTGGTAGACGATATAGCACACCAACATAATCCAGTCAAATGTCACCGAACCTGAAACTGCCGGACGACATGTGCACCAAACCAAGAATCCAAGAGATTCAGTCAACAAGTGACACCTTATCTGAAGGCTAACTGGAGGATAGAAACTAGATCTGGAAAGTACGCACAACATACGTACGTACTAGCTATAGTAAACTTGCCTGGTAGACGATATAGCACACCAACATAATCCAATCAAATGTCACCGGACCTGAAACTGCCGGACGACATGTGCACCAAACCAAGAATCCAAGAAAAGGGACAAACAATGTGGTCGCCAGCATTCCGAGCCAGAACAGAATCACTTCACGAAATCCACCAAAAGCGTACTGAAAGAAGGTCACATGATCGTTGTATTCACCGGTCGAACCTCCGAACAAATCGTGACAAATGATATTCAGAGAGAAGAGGACCAAGACCGCGACGAACATATGATAAACTGTACGGATGTGCGAAAGTTCAAAAAGTTCGGTAAGGACGGATTCGCGTTGACGAAAGACTTTTTCTGATAGTTCTTTCACCGCACCGCCATTGGATGATGGGTACCTTGGGGGGAAGGAATAGTGCAGCGTGAATGAGGAGCGTTACGGAGGCGGAAAACTTCCAAAAGAAGCATAGTAAAATTAAAGTGCAATCGAAACACTCCGGAGAGAAAAGACGTCCCTAATTACACGCAAACATATCTTATCCGCACCAATGCTCCAAGACAATTGAAACATACATCACCTGGGCACATATTTCGCGAATTTCAGGAAACTGAGCGCAAACTGACAACCATTCATAGCACTTTAATGCCTTTTCCGCTTTTAATATTAGAATTCAATGTAAAATGCTCACATAAGGAGACAAGGTAACTGGTTAAGTCGTCTCACGAAACATATGCTGCTCACAACGAATCCGCTGCAGACAGCACGGCTATTTGGCATCCATCTGCTCACTATTTTTGTTCCTAATCGTTTCAATTTTACAATTGTTAGCCTGTCATGGATAATTTGTGACAAGTTGTGAAACTCAACAACCCTTGAGCCATATTTGAGGTTGTTTTTGCAGCTTTCAACGCTGGTCAGACGCTGCAGATACAACGTACGCTGTCTAGATTCGCTTGAGTTTCAGAGATTGTGACAAGTGCATCGACTTATTCCCTAAACGTTGCACACCTTTTTCCTCAGACTTTTGAACCCCGATCGTCCTTTCGTCCAGCTTTTACACCCCGACAGTACATCGCTCCAAAAAATAAAACAACGAAATATGCTGATGCAAGTATCTTTGAACAACAATGGGCGTCGCGTGTTGACATCGTCGGGGTCACATTATTTGCCTCATACAACGGAATATATGATAAAAAGTACGCAGCTGCTAGCGTCTCCCATCCTCCATGTTATCACCCAACCCCGGTCACATTTAAAATACATCTCATGTGAACTCTAGCCGTTGGCAGATCAAACAGACAACATGTACGTAACCAATTGAACCCTATCCATTTCACGTTTACTGTTCACACACTCTTATTTTCTTCTTGCGCGCAGCTCTTGACGTGTAACTTCTTAAGCATACTGACTAGCCAGCTGCTCTTGAGTGCATTTTACACACGCATCAAGGCGCATCTGAAAGGTAAATACAAGATCTAAGAATGGAAACCGCTTTTGCAAAATCTTTGCTGTCTAGACGTTATTGAGCGTTACATTTAGGTGACTTCGAATTGATGTCGATGTTGGTATAGACCCGTGCACAGCGGACTCTAGGCCGTCTGACTGTCCATCTTCATGGGAACCCACCCTGGTAGAAATACCAGACATCCATTGATCAAAGCATCCATGAAGGCTTCAACCAAATCCATCTCTGATCTAGCACAAAACACATCCACTCGAGAAGGCTAACTAGGCTAACACAAATGGACAGATGCAACCCTTATAGTTGGGGAATGCANATTATTGAGCGTTACATTTAGATGACTTCGAATTGATGTGGTATAGACATTTGTTGGCCACCCGTGCACAGTGGACTCTGGGCCGTCTGACTGTCCGTCTTCATGGAAACCCACCCTGGTAGAAATACCAAACATCCATTGATCAGAGCATTCATGAAGTCTTCCATCTCTGATCTAGCACAAAACGCATCCACTGGAGAAGGCAACTAGGCTAACACAAATGGAGAGATGCAACCCTTATAGTTGGGGAATGCAATGCACTTTCGGGGCACCTCAATTAATTATTGGCACGTCTTGGACAAGGAATGTTATGGCAATGCTGATGGCTTTTTCAAGTCTGTACCGGACTCCAGGTGCTTTGCAGTAGCATCCTCTTCATATACAATAACCGCCGTTGTGTTGTCTTGCGTCTCCCACCGTTGAGCAGCGATGGAGGCAGACTGATCACACAAACACACTAGCCACAGAAGTCGAGGTTGAGTTCTTGATTGCCAGTCGTTGTATGGTACTTCATTCGATTCAGATCATGCTCTGTCTTCGAAAATTTTCAAAGAAACAAGCTCACCATATAACAACAGAGGTCTTCTAAACCGAGGTTTTCTATGACCAGAGGACACTGGCCATAACTGGATTGAAATAGCCAAAGCTATACGCGAAGCAGGAAGCCTTCCGAGCACGCAGACAGAACCCACTGGATCGTAGAGCGATTCTCATCCATCCTTGACGTCCTTGTGTACTTGTGTCACTTCAGATTTAGAGTATAATCAAGCTAGACGGTAGGCTAGACATCAGCTTAAACAAAACTTGAGCACGGATAGAAGCGTGGCGGAAACAGAAGCTACAAGACGATGAGGTTAACGCATTTCGGAATACGCCAAAGGTGTTTTCAGGTAAACCTCAAGGCAGATTACAGGGAGTTAATCCAAAATAAAGCCGGAAATCTTATGTGTAATGAGGGTGCTCATCTACGTAGATCGGAGGAATATCTCCAACGGCAGTTTCGTTGATCAACTGTTTCTACATATTTGTATTTCGTTAGACCCATCCGCTCAAGCCGTTTTCTCTCATTTGTGATACTTGCTCGGTTTATGAACTACTGAGGTGTTTTTCTGTCCTAAAGAGCCATCTTCTGCCAGGTTGGCTTTATTCAAACTTGGCGGCAAAGAATGGTGTCTTGTTTTGCCTTTATTGATTGCACCTTTCCGGGAACGGGTAATCCTTGAAGAGAACTAGGGCCAACTAATCGTTGATCGTAGATATATAAGCCTCCAACCTGTCATAACCCAAACACTAGCTTCCTTATTACTGCGACGATGGAATTCGACACGTCAGACGTATACCATGGAACTTCAAGCAAGATTTTAACGAAGAGGGGAGTGCACTTACCACACGATTGCACTATGCCAGGAAGCTGGACTAGCCCACACACCGCCGATCAACATGCACTGCTTTAACCCGTAGATAGAGCATATTTTCTATACATACATGGTCGAAAAGCATTGTCATCCAAATTCACATTATGTCTCGTATTCTTTACTCAATCACATCTTACCCTGTAACGGTCCAAAATGAGCCATTCAAAAGAAGAAATCAAGTAATGCACTTGGATTATGTGGACGGCCTTGGCTTGCTCCAGCGTGTCCACAGCAGCGTCATGCAGGCCAGGGCTCGGAACGAATCCGAACCGACAGGTTGGCCAATAAATGTTCCCAGGTAAAGGCGTGAAGACATTAAATTAACCTCAGGTACCTTCAAGCACATTAGTGTAATCGGCTTAAGAGTATGAGGTCCCTTGAAGTAGGTTTAGAGGACACTGGCCATAACTGGATTGAAATCGGCTTAAGAGTCTGAGGTCCCTTGAAGTAGGTTGGATCGAGAAGTTCGAGTCTGTACCGTCCGGTCAGAAATATCTAAAGTGTCACTCTGAAATCGCTTTCGTTTACTGAACCGTCAGAGGTTCTACATGCAAGGTGGGTTTCAATCTGACTAACTCATCGGTTTTACTTGTTTTACCGGCACGCTGGTGCACAGGCAGAGTGCGTGACACTTGCTGTTTTTCCTCCCCTTTTATTTTACCACATACGTTTAGCTACTGCTATCCGTTTAAGTAGAGGAGATGAGTTACGTCACAGCCGATCGAAACACCGATGACCTGAGGTCATCGAACTTGTACTGTTTACCGTATTGTGTAAACGGATTTGGTATGTTGCATGGCCTGAAGATTAGGTAGACCGAATCTCAACCTTCGTTACTGAAGTGAGATAAAAGTGGCTAACAGAGGATCTGAGATAAACATAAAGTTCACTGTTTGCTTTAATTAACATCTCTGATTTAACTGACAGACTATTTCTTGGCGGAAAATCAGTGTGTTGGTGTGAAAAGAAAGGAGTCAATAGTTGCCTTTGCAATAACTATGAAGCAAGATTAGTTCCCCCGCAGTCACTGACAATTGGGTGAGGTATGTGTTTCTAGCATTTCCACTGAAATTCGATGAATAGACCCTCCACTTTAGCAAGCCACAAAAACGTATACAATAGATGCCTCAAGTTCTCTATATCTACAATACATATACAGCCAGTCGTCGTGAGCACAGCCCTTAGTTTTTCCTTGCCGTCTTTTGTTTTGTTCATGGCGCCTCCGAGAAGTATGTGAATTCCTGCTTAAAAAAACAGATAGCTCCACAGCCACTGATGTCAGGTGGAAGTGTGGATGAGCGTACAGTAACGTGAAGCCAAATTTAAACTAGTCACCTTCTATTGCCCAGGACGGAGAGAAAGTCCCGGTGTGCTTGGACGCCATCCGAACACAACCCGATTGAGCGTACCTTGCGCCCAAAAAACCATATATAAGTTGAATTCGCCCACAAAGTAACCGATCTCTTGAGGAAATTCATTTGAAGGTAATTTACACAATCGGCCTTGATGTTCCTTCCCAAGGGTTCAGGCGATAAACAGGCTGACTACCCGAGAAGACTGACTTAGAACCGTGTACTGTCGTAAGTCATATATTAGGATCCACCAAGATTTCACGAGTCAGCTTATATTATTATTATTTTATTCGAAACGTGATGCTACTTCGTCGATGACGGTTGAGCCAATACTAGTAACACAATCGAACTAAGAACTTACCGCATTTCACATCATCGGGGAAGAATTTAAAGAATACATGACTAATATCCTCAGCTGCATACCAATTTGGTCTTCACAAGAGACCCACCTGGAACATCGTAAGACGAGAGATTTAGTCTGGTCCCAGATGAGTTTCCCATGAAACCAAACTGGTATGCAGATGAGTGTACTAGCTGAATTTCTCACAATAAGGTTTCACGCAGAACATAAGGTTGACAGAAACTCGCGGACTTCAACTACTTGATGAGCCCCAAGAAGGCCGAAACCGGTCGTGGGCTGTCAGCAAACTTCTGAGTAGTGTATTAAGTCTGTATGGAATAAGTGGTTATCAAAATTGTTCCTAAGGGTTTGTGACCATTCATTTCGCCCATGAACGCTAACAGACGGATTGTATAACTTTCTGCCTATTGGCCTAAATGTTACAATCAGGCCCAAGTATGGGTGAAAAAGGTTCGTTTTTGCTCAGTTACCCAGGTCTGAACCACATTTGTGTCATGCTTAAACCTTGAACCACAGCAGATCCGACACCATCAGATGAAAACTGAGTTTTACAACATATTTAATTTCAGTCGTACGTGATACGTGCTTTCGTAAATGGATTGTGTCGAATGAAATCGGCAAGTTAGTCCTTTTGTAGGACTCGTGGTTGGATTCCTACGGAATCCTAGCTCTAGCTGTAGGAATAATGACCACATAAGCAGGGGCGATATGAGTGACAGAGTTGATTGTGCTGCCCACGAAATTTGTCTTTCGGGTGGCTTGCTTGGTACTCACTGGCGTTGGATGGTTTTGGGCTAACCCCACCTTCACTTGCCGAGGGCGATTGTTGTAGATACTGCCAGGTGAGATAAAGCGTGTCCACTAGCCCCGAAGGGCTGACTGTACTTTTCTTTAACAACTCTCTAAATCTTCGTTAATGCGGCCTAAACAAAGGCCTTTCACATGGTAGACCCAATACCACCGTTACTTGGTATTTTCATACAGGAAATTCTTGGTAAAAAGTTTACGCCCCTCTCTGGTAGTGAGAAGTGTTATTCCGAAGTTAAAACTTTTCAGTTGATGGCAATCGTGGCTGGTGGCTTGAGAAGCGTTCTCAAGAGAGACAATCAAGGATTTTCATGAGAGTGAGTACATTAATCCGGATACTGATTTCACCTTTCGGTGTTCAGTTCAGGTGTTCTGCTACATACCGAGTTATCCTTCGGAGACATGTGGAGATACAGAATATGTACACAGTTGTACAAATTTCACCGATGAAACATGAAGGCAGTGAGTTTACAGTGTGGCACCATGTCAATACACTGCTTTTCGTATCACTACTGAACTCCAACCTCATTGATTGTTATTGATTTTTGGTGCTAGTATGTGTGTGTTGTTTATATGAGCGTTGGAAATAGGAAGCACCAAAACGGCAGTCGTTATTTATTTGGACGGGACTCTATTCGAACGACATGGAAAAATAGCCGATGACACGTTCACTGTTGCTAGACCGCCCACTTACTCCTTGAACGAGCNGATATCACACAATTATACTGCGAACTAAATTCGCACCGTAGCCCAATATTTATCAGGTTCTTAATTTCCAGATCCCACAAGCCAAATGCAGTTATCTTTTTTATACTGTCTATACGACTGTGGCTATATAGAAAAAACTTTCTCTTGTTATAGCCTGCGTGGTAAGCTGGAGACTAGTATGCATTCCCAAAATGTTGATCCAGTCGTGAGGTCTAAAGATCGTCCGAAAAACCTCTTTCAGAGTGTCAGTAAGCCCCAGGATAGTCTAGACAACTCATTTCCCGTGTTATTCTCTATTTAATATAGCACAGTAAAAACAGTTCCTATAAATGGCATGTGTGTTCACACCATTGATGGAGAAGGGCTTTGTTTACTAACTAAGGTTGATAAGGTTAACATGAGTGCAAAAGACATTGCGGATGATCATATTAGTCGCTAGGTCCAGCGTAATCTTGTAAAGAAAGTGGTTTTGGTAGAGGCTTCGTCGTGGACGAAGCAGTGTATTGTGACCGGTATAGTTGAGGAGTAAAGACGCAACGTCGTGGACGAAGCAGTGTATTGTGACCGTCACTTTACCGGTATAGTTGAGGAGTAAAGACGCAGGTTTTTCTGAGTGAGTAATGTGTCTCGTCTCCACACATGAATATGATCACTCCTGCTGCCACGGAGCACTGCTTCGAAACGCTCCTGGTACTTTAGTTTTGAATCTTTCTTCTTGTCACGTTGTTGCTAGGCCCCAAAACGAAATTTCGTTTGTACTTGTGTTACACAATGTTTAACGAGTATATGTAGACAGCCAGTTGAGGGCGATGGATTCAAATGAATTACCACATACTCGATGAGAAAAAATCATGAATAAGTGCTAACCTGGTACAGGGAAAAAAGAGCCAACACGAGAAACTTACCTTTGGAACCGATCCATCTTTTTGTGCACTTTGTTCTCATGCTAGCAAAATTCGATACGTACGTCCGTACCTCTTTAAACTCAGAATGACAGGGTGCTCTATAGCATATCACCGCATTAGACCAGCTTCTGTTCATCGAATTTGTCCTCACACAAGTAGAGTGGTTGTTCTAAGGTCTTGATGATAGAGTCCACTTCCTACCCTCCATGAACACCTTAGTTTTCTCAATACGCTTTGTCTAGAGAACGAACTGGTATTCCAAAGCACGTTCAATTTAGACAAACCCTACCAAAGCCTTGCAAACTCTCTGGGGTGCTGATACTATTTGTAGACTCGGATACAGACAAAAAATTCTCGTGGTCAACGTCAACGCCAATCAACCTACAAAGTGTCAGCGGTTATCGGAACCATGGTCAGAACGAAATACGAATGTGAACTGCAACGTTCGATCATGCTTACAGTTGATAAAACATGCAGTCAGTAAGATCTGCAAGCCAATAAATATTTATGTTGTTGTGTAGTAGTAAACAGAGGTCACATCAATCTTGTTCTTGCTGGAACGCACGATAGTGATGATGTGACAGAAACCGGTGACGTCCAAAATACACTATAGGGAACCTCATTCTTGTGTATCGATTGAAGCTTGTTTACATAGGTGGTGATTACTAAAAGTGTCCAATCCGGTGGATTATCGCCTACGTCAATATCATCCTTGCCAAAATTAAGACATGTCATGGTAAAAATCAAAAGATTGAGTGTACATTTTCTGAGATAGTACAGAGACTTTTCAACATCGTCACAAACATCAGCAGCAGCAATACCATCGTAGCCACAGAAACAGCAGCAATTGCAGTCAAATAACGGACTTACATCGCAGAATCGGTACCGTGGAATTCGTGCCTTAATACTTACGTTCTCCATCACCACGCACATATCCACTTCAACCCCTATAAAAAAACTTCGTGTTGTTTCGTAGCCATAAGTTTTTCTTGATCTGAGAGCCCAAGTGTAACCGCAGAACACTAAAACTCAAGGAGATGGTAGACTGACTTTTGACCATTTTCGGTGTCGTATGGAATTTGAAGAACGTTCATTTAGTGAAATCCGATTCGTGAAATAGCTTCTAAACCCTGTTGGAGTGAGCATATTCGACTGTTTCACAGTGCTGTTGCTAGTGTGAGGAGATTTCGGGATTTTTAACGATTCCTTCCTCCAAGTAAAGCCAATCCATGCTGTGATCACGTGATGTGGATTCCGTTATTGAAGGATGAGTGGTGACATGTCCCATTTAAATGAGAGCTGATCACACTGCTGATCGACTGCACGTGACCGGATGGTTAAGCGTTCAAACACTGGCCAGAAAGTTACGGGTTCGGAACCCGTAGGATACGCATTGCTGATAATCCACAATAAGGAGGAAACAGCTATAAAGTAATTCTCGGTTTTTCAGCACAGACTGGCTTCACTTACATGACGTTTCACAGCTTTTCTAATGCAATAATCAAGACAATATGATGGAAGGCTTTCTGAATTCTGCCAATATGCTGAGATACCATATACTTGCAGGAAGAGAGTATTGCCTCTTATGAACTGGGAAATGTTCCGAACGTTTTCGAAAATGAATTATGTAAAGTGCCCCGTCTGCAAAAAAATCTATGATCGGCAACGCCTGTTTCCAGTTCAGGTGCTAGTTTTCAAATATAGCTAAGAATGTAACAGCGGTGAAAGAATAGGTGTTTTCGGGATATGTACAACTGGAATACAACGGCAGCAGTTTCAGGAACGATAAGAGAAGTCCTTTCAACTCAGATTCCAACGATACCAGCTACACACATGGCTTGCCTACTCCAACCGGCTTGGAGGAAGACACTGGCGTTTGTTATTCAGGACTTTGCGTGAATCCCAACGAAGGTGATCCAGATCCAACAAGGTATGAGCTCCACGAAGATATTTTCTTTGGTTATGCAACGTCTACGGACAAGGTCGGCCAAATACACATTTTCATGCGGAAAAAAGGGTAGCCAATTATTGTAAATTTACAATACTGAGTAGTCTGTTGAATTTTTGTGACAGAAATACTGATGACACCGAGTTCCATTTTGGCGAAGTGATCTCACTATTCAACATTCAATACAGATGTCTCAAAATTTGCTTCCAGACCAACAGAGATTTTGTTTTTCTTACGCCGGCTGAATCGACCATGAATTCAAAAGTCCTCAGTTGAGCAAGCTGCCAGCTGACAAATTAAAGGCTCTTATGTGTGTTTCGTACTGAGCACAATCACAAGATATAGAAATTAGAACGTGAATTCTGATACATTTTGACTCACTTTTCAAAACTCCAAGGCTTAACAAACGAATTCATGACTACAAGATCTCATCGTGACCACACGGTGAAACATAACTGTCAGTCAGCGGACGAATCCCACGACTTTTGGGCGGCTACCACCGGTATGCTCATACGCCCTTTGTTGGCCGACGACCTGGTCACTACTGATCGGCAAGTTCATGCCAGACCCAAGGCAACCGTCGTCGAGACTGTTTACTTCATTCGATTCGTGTTCGTTTATTCTAGCATATTTACGTCTGGGATTGAAATAACTTACGGTTTGCTAGTGTAAGTTTCCATAGTGAAGTGAGAACTAAACCCGCTGATCTGGCTTAGTGTTTGCATTACCCTCCATCCAAGCCATCGTTTGAAAATTCACCATGCACCAAAGAATGTCCCTGATGGGATAGCCTTACCACATTCAACTGCTTACTGCACTGAGTGGTAGGGATAGACAAATGCATACTGCTCAATGTGCTGAATAGGTTGGCTTCGGTAGGATTACCAGGATCTATAAAACAGTGTAGAAAGGCACTGGTGATACCAAGACCGCTTCGTATAATATGTAGCCATGTGTACGAGGCTTTACTGGGAAATGTGTTTCGTATAGGCACAATGAGAGTAAGCAACCTTATCGAGTGCAGCTGGAGTTGTTGATTCTGCGACTAGTTCTTGCGGCCGCGTCGACTATTCAGCCGGACGTGTCGATCTGGTTCTCTTGATTCACTGTACTTGTGGACAAGACTACCACATTCTCCTCAGGCTTACCAATTTTCGTTGTGCATGTCATCAAGTGATCCATGCAACACTAAGTGTTTCTGTAATCCAGCAATCCATCACCTGTTGCGAGCCACAGTCATAAGCAAGTCTGAAGTTGATTGCCTGGTGCACTTTTCAGAGCGCCTTTCCTGCAAGCTACTGTTTCAACTAGGGATATGCACCACGCGTTACAGTTAAATCGATCAAAAAATCTTAGCGCACAGCTCGCCTATTTCATACAGCGATAGGCCTGTTGATAAGTACAAACAATGTACTCCTTATACTGGATTTATGATGCTGGTCTTGATAGTCGGATTTTTGTTGGATTTATTAGGAACCCTCTCCCATCAGTGAGAAGGAACACACTGGCCACACGGGTGCTTATTACGATGAACAACCAACACGGTGTTAGTTGCACGCTTGCTTCTTAGGCTGCGCTGATTGTACACGGAGGTATGGATCCTGTTCTCCTGTCCCATCAGCCGTCTAGGCAACTCCGTGGCGCGAGACGCGTAACTCGTGAGGTTGCCGATTTCGTAGGACGCGTTCATCACCGCTGTGATGTTGCGGTTCGCGGCGCATGGGTTGACCCAGTTGCCAACCCGCCCCCACCACGGTTGGCCTGGCTCGGCAACCGAATCTGATTTCTTGGCCTGTGAACAGACCATACGGGGTGGTGGTCCTATAACGGGCAGTGTGACTAATCGATACAACCGATGTGTGCGTCACTCACGCGTACGTGCGTCGTATCATGCGCCAGCGACAAAACACAAATCTCGGGTGGCCTAGGGGTGCGGCGTAGAGGTCGGAGCTGTCACACCGCTTTTTGGGCGCAAGCTCAATCCTAATGAGATGGGCACACAAACTACTGACCTGTGCAGATAAGTGCACATGGATTTAGTTCTATGGATACATTCGTACGAGTTGATTGCCTGCCCACTTTAAAACACCATTTTGAGGAAGCTCTCGATCACCTCTTGCTAAACAGTCGAATTCATTAAAAAAAATTTGGTGAGGATATAGGAAACAGACTGGTTGTTGGTCTGTTCGCCGAGCTTGGCAGTTGGAGTGCAGTCCAAGCAGCGCACCCGAGCTACCTACATTCCACAACATTGCATATAGGAAACAGAGCTAACCAAAAAGCTGCATTCTTTAAACAACTCCATGAAATTTTCGGCTGAAATCACCGCATTTCCAGAAGATGGTTTCAAACGTAAAACGAATTGACAAGGCTTGGGTTGAATTGCAAGCTTCCACGAAAGAGGCTAACAAAATCAATGTCCAACTACGGTTTGAACATGTGTGACTAAACGAAAGATTTGATCCGTGTCAGAGTAGCTAGTCCGTTTGGAAGTAACTAGAGAACCATGAGGAATGAAACACCTGTCATTTCCCCGACCTGAGAGAGTTAGCCAGTCAATAAATGTGAGTACCTGAGGAAAATGGAAATTATTCTTTCAGATATCTGGAAAAAGCATAGCTGATAATTCTCCGGAAACTAAATAAGTTGTAGAAGAAATGCTCACTAGATAACTGCAAACTGCTTTATGATTGTACCAGAGAAGCGGAATATCGGTGTAACGGTGATACTACTGATAGGGGAGCGTGCGAGTAGTACGTTTTCTCGTGACTCCGCTTCACGTCTCTTGTGCAGTCGCTTTGTAGCATTTGCTTGGATTTGAGCAACAGTCAATGAATATCCAGGAAGGTTCAAAAAGACGCGTTCAAGGAGAAGATGGATATTCAGTTTTCATAAACAAGATGCATATGGGAGTTTTGCTTCCCTGTCCAATAGTCTGTGACTGTTCAGTTAAAATTGTCTAATAAATAACTCCGCAACGAAGGCCTTCTTCCTTTCATCGGTATCTGAAACCCATTCGAACTACCACTCCATGTATGTACGATCCCTTCAAAATACACAAAGACGCTACTCCTCTAAGATAGATTAGGTTTACTAGCATACCGGCCTTCTACAAAATTGTACTCTGGTTACTGGGATTACTGCAACCAGAACGAAAAAATTCACCTCAATATTTAAAGCGTTCTTCTGAACTGGCAGACAACCCGGTGAGTTCCCTAACCCTAAACCGAAGCATGTAATCCAGATGTCACCAAGATAACCTTTAGATCGGAGGTCAAATGGCAATCAAACTTTATCGATCTGGTAAACAGTAGTCATTGGTCAACTCACGGTGCGCATCACAAACCCCAGGGTTTTAGCGATAAGAACAAACCAGTTGAGCTGTGTGGACAAAAATCATTGGAGCAAGCGATTTCGTAATTAATCAGCAATTAATCAGCTGACTTGCAGAAATCAATTAATCAGTGCCCGCTCAACATTGTCTCTACCCTTTATTCTGTGTAACTCGATTGTTTTACGCCTGCGACGGAAGAAACTAAAAGAAATCTCAACATACTGCAATGTCTTCTTTTGGTTCAAACGGAAAATAAACCATAAAAATGTCGCTGAATTCTGAAATCAGTCACACGAGGCTTTTGTCCTTACTGACGATTAGGGTAACCGATCGACTGGTTCCAAGGTTAACGCACGCACCGAACGGTTTCCTCAATTCGAGTGAATTTTTAACCGGTCAGCCGAATGAATCTGCTAACCAAGGTGTCACTGGACTGATCTTTCGGCCTACGTGGGGAATTCTTGTAAGGGTAAAAACCTCTATGTCACGGAGCCGTAAGTGATTGAACCACATCTATAAACGCTTGCTTTATTGTGACGGGCCAAAATCCCAGTTATATACTACTTGGTATGTAACAATGTACCAAGAATTCAGTCAAACGTCAACCGTACAATTCTAAGGGACCGGTCGTGCAATACAGCATTCAGTGTTTTGTGTTTTTCGACAGTTTTGAGCGTCCCATATGGAAACCTTATCGAAATCCGCCTATCATTAAAACGTTTCACGGACATCTCGGTAACATTGTCTCTACCCTTTATTCTGTGTAACTCGATTGTTTTACGCCTGCGACGGAAGAAACTAAAAGAAATCTCAACATACTGCAGTGTCTTCTTTTGGTTCAAACGGAAAATAAACCATAAAAATGTCGCTGAATTCTGAAATCAGTCACACGAGGCTTTTGTCCTTACTGACGATTAGGGTAACCGATCGACTGGTTCCAAGGTTAACGCACGCACCGAACGGTTTCCTCAATTCGAGTGAATTTTTAACCGGTCAGCCGAATGAATCTGCTAACCAAGGTGTCACTGGACTGATCTTTCGGCCTACGTGGGGAATTCTTGTAAGGGTAAAAACCTCTATGTCACGGAGCCGTAAGTGATTGAACCACATCTATAAACGCTTGCTTTATTGTGACGGGCCAAAATCCCAGTTATATACTACTTGGTATGTAACAATGTACCAAGAATTCAGTCAAACGTCAACCGTACAATTCTAAGGGACCGGTCGTGCAATACAGCATTCAGTGTTTTGTGTTTTTCGACAGTTTTGAGCGTCCCATATGGAAACCTTATCGAAATCCGCCTATCATTAAAACGTTTCACGGACATCTCGGTTTCATTCGAATGAGGGACGTTTTTATGATGCGCTGAATTTTGTATACGGCTAGTTTAACTGACGCATAAGTATACCAGACCTTAGACACTCAGTTGTGACAAAAGTGGCATGGCCGTTTGATTTTCAAGCCAACACATGAGTAATAAAGTTTCTGCTATTCGTAGAACATAAGTGAGCAAGCGTGTAGCACCTACGATCACCCACAGATTGCTCAGGGTAACTTTGGGGCTTATTTCAGTTTGCATCTTTTCCGGTTGAGATTGCGTAACGTGGGAACACGGTGATCTAGTTGGGCATCACAATCAATGGAGCAAAGGTCTTACGGTACACACCGTAAGTTTCAGTTGCAAAATTTTGTCCATTACATAAAAACTACTCTGTGTGTGATTAAAAAAATGGCGTTGATCACATCGTTTTCAGGCAGACCAAAGGTGAATAGTTCTAGTAGTCTAGGGGGATGCAGAAGGCTGAGAATTTAATTTCATATCACTGAAAATAAATCCAAGGGTGAAGCGGCGTCTTTTAAAACATGAGTAATTCCATTCCTCGAAAAAATATACCATGGCAGTATATCATTGAACCGTCGCCTTACCAGCACCATTATCTTTCTCTAAGATCATGTTTTTAACCAATACGGTCACCAGTGTAAAGTTTGATGTTCGTTTGTTTTAACAGCATCTGACATTCCAGTTGTCCATGCGTGCACAGCTGAAAGTGCCACTTTTAACTATGCACAAATGCGAGTGGCAGAAGGAGATGAAATCGATCTTACACCTATGGAACCATTTGAAAATGAATGGAACTTCAAAGTTCCCCTTTCTGAAACAGGCGTAAGGAAAACAAGACTGCCAGTTTGAAAAGTGGCCGAGAAATCAAATTCGAACCGTCGAAATAATGGTCCACGACCTCATCCACTTGACAACGTTTCGTTTCGGCATTGTGAAAATCCAACCAGGACACTATATGCATCCCACATAAAGCGCTTATCGGTATACAAACGAAAGATCTGAAGCTCAGCACAGTTAAAACTCAAGTAGGAAACGCATTTGTCCCTTCCAAAGGAAGGATATATCGGCTTCCGTCCCAGCATTTGATGATCATTCGGTCAGAGAAATGTCTAAGCAGTTCAGTGGATGAACATGTACCCAGGTTCAGCCGATCGCACCTGAGTAAATCACCTACCCTGGTGGTTGGATCAGGTAAGCAAGAGTTCTCAGAGTTGTTGTGGTATCCACAGTGTGTGGATGAATCTCTGGCAAGCAGAGTACTTAAGCAATCGATCCACGACCGACTGAGGGATCACAAGGTGATGTTCCCAGGCTAAAACTGTCGGTCGATACTTTCGACTGTTTGAAGTCTTCTTAATGAGTAAGCTGCATCAACCAGAATCTATAAAACGGGGTTTTCTCTTAATCACCAGGCAATTAAAAGCCAGGACAAAAAATAAGAACAACCCCACAATCAGTCAGCGTTTACCATGTTCTAAGAAGGGCACTCAACTGAAAAACAACATGCTATTTTTCCCCATAAATCTGCTGCTCCCAATTGCTGAGTTTATACCAGTATTCATTTTGCCTAAAAATTATACCTTATATCAACCCTGAATGATTTTGTACTTAGGCCTAAACCTTTCTTATAAACGAATATACACTGTAGCTGATGGTCAAACTGTGGCGCTTCGAATTTTCGGTTAGATATCAATGTAAAGGCGTGACGTACCCACAGCAGCTTCAAGGCTAAAACAGCAAACCGGTCTAGACAGCAGGTAAAATTGGGTTGTGGGGTGGATAATTCTTGAGTTGATGGTTGCACTTATTGGATCAATAAATTCGATGAGACTGGCTGCAACGCAAGCAGAGGCCTGTATATCTTGCTAATTTGAACATCGCTAGCTTTAATCGTGATCCGTCTGTCGCGCACGCCTCTTCAAAACACTGGACTCGCTTACTGTCTCCATAGTAAATACATTCACGTTTATTTAGACTGCCAAAATGGGGTATTTTCATTCTCTTACGGTACGATGTGACCGACGTTGCCAACGAAACTGATGGAACGACCAACCCATTGCTCCATCGAATCGAGCGGATTATCGGTACGGTTACAGATTGTTGGTCTATTCGCGGATTCGCGCAGTTGGATTGCAAACGTTTCACCACCAATCGAGGAGACATCGTCAGTGCTGGGTTAAGTGATGATGTCACCTCGATTGGTGATGAAACGTTGGCAATCCAAATACGAAGTTCGGTGAGAAGACCAACAACCAAGTGACGGACCCGAGCTACCTATATTCCACATTTCCAAAGCGGGAATTAACGTGAGCAGCAGTGCACTCAATAAATTACATGGAAAATTCATTGAATCCTATCGATGGATGGAAGGCTTTTCCCAGTTCTAGATGTATGTCCGCTTGTCTCATCAAGTAATGTGCCAACGTATATTCTCTTTTTCTATCTCCATGAAGCTCAGCCCTATGGTGCCTCTAGTGTCACACCTAAACTAGGCTATCGTGTCTGTACCGTGAACTAGCATGAACATGTTTGGAAATGTGACCAGCCTAAATTTATAGCGTAAAACCAACAGCTAGAAAGGCATGTAACGTCAGTTGGGGGGATGTAGTTTAGGCTTCCCTGAGTTTCTGGCCACATAAGTTACCACATACGAATCCCGCGATTCAACAAATGAAAAGAAGGTTCTCAATGCCCCCCTCAGAAAAGCTGACAATCTCGGTCCAAACCCACGTGCTGTTCGGGGCTAATCTCTTAAACGCTCAAACTATTAGCCGGAAGGTCGCTGTTTTCGTGAGATTTACACTGTTGATGATCCCCATTAAGGATGAAAAGTTCTCGGCTTTTTAGCACAAACTGATTCAACTTACAGGACGGTATCCTCACTGGTAATCCACGGTTCGTCCCCATTAAGGATGAAAAGTTCTCGGCTTTTTAGCACAAACTGATTCAACTTACAGGACGGTATCCTCACTGGTTATCCACGGTTCGTATACTGTCAACGAAAAGATTAAATATCCTTTATCAAGTAGAACATACGGTTGACGGAAACTCGGGGACTGCGCCTACCTGATGAGCCCGAAGAAGGGCGAAACCGGTCGTGGGCTGTCGACAAATTGTCAGCAACCTTATGAGTAGTACATTACGAATGTCTTTTGTCATGTTTTAAACTGACTACATACCTACTCGCTTCTATCCGTGCTGAATATGATGCAAGTATTCAACAACTAGCACAAGCGCTTTGCCGCTTTATTTTGGAACTGTTAAAACTATGATGCAGTGAAAATGTTTGTCAAGATGAGAGAAATCCATAAATTGAACAGCATGCGTTTCATTTACATTAGATTCACGGTGGCCCTGTAAGAACTGACCAATGAGCGAGTTTCTTCACATCTTTGAATCGTTGCTTAGGTACATGTTGCCCAGGCTTTGGATTGAGATTGTCACGAGTACAGGTTTCTGAGGAAGCCATCGACGGCCTTTTTTATTTGCTGAGTCGGGATTTGGAAATGGCAACTTATTTGGGTGAAAACTCTGTTGTCTTCTTCTTAAGCTGTAAAACCGTGGACTTGTCGTACCACTGCCGCGGTTTTCTTCGCCGATGATCTGGGAAGGTAGGAGTCGATAGCTACACAATGGTGGTAATGACCGATAGAAATGATGTTTGAATCTGAGGGTGACAATGGACTTTCCATTCGGGAGATCGGGAGGGAAGGTCATGCACTGAAAGCAATAGCTTGAGTGCATGAGCGTCACTGAACGCCCGACCGGCTGTTTGTCAGTGTCTCTAACTACTGACCTGTCCTCTCTCTGGGTTCCCACCGGTGGAGACAGCAATGACCAGCGCAGCTGAATTTATTGGTAACGGTTTTCATACTGCGCTACCAAGTAATTGCTCGACCTCCTCTAGCTCGTTCTTACCATTCGCCTGGTTGTGCGAAAACAGCTGTTCAAGGAAATCAATCCATTGTCGTACGGACTACGTTACTACACTAGCACAATCTGTGGAGACTGATCGTTTCATCAGTCGTCGGGGAGTCATTTCTTCCGAAAACTATTTGATGCAATTCAGCACTACTGATCCAGACTCAGAAGACTTTGAAATGCATTCCCACAACTGGCGTTACATAGCCTGTTGACTGTTGGTTTTACGATGGAACTTTACTCGGTAGTACTGTCACAAGTTTTAAAGTGGAGATTTGCTTGAAGGATAAACCTACCAAACAAATCACTCGGTTATTCGTAGTTCGATAGATAAAACAGACCGTCGGCATAATCGAAGCGAAAATGTATGCCGTCTTTTGTACAGATCAGTTGATAGACAGCAATGACACGCATTGATAAACAGTAGTTTATCCATTACCCCAGGGCAAAATTCATGGATCTGGAAATATGTGTGTGACTTTCTCACGGTAAGTGCAACTCTCTGAGAAATGGGTTGTGACTTTCTAATGCAAATATGCGGTGTGGGCTTTGTCGAAACAAGATAGTGTCATTGGTGTATCACCAAGAGCACCAAAGATCTATCGACTGTTTGCACAGAAATATTGAATGCTAAGCTTTTGGAGGGACCCTCGAGGGTAAACACACCATCACAGAACAATCCATACTGCCGCCATGAAGAGCACTCAGTATGGGGAGAATAAGCTCAGTAGTTACGAATATGTCGTTTACCCGGTTCAGCATAGCTGAACAAAAGAACGACGATCACTCTTAACGTAAGGGTGTGGTTAGTGGTTTCGGATTACGTGAACTCAATAATTCGGAGTCTGACTGGCCCATACATGTCGAAGTTGACATCGTACAATTCGCAAAAAGACCCGGAGCAACCTAACCTATCGAATAGCCATTCCTACGTAGCAGTCGACAATGAATCATTGTCGATTCACACGGGAGTCGTTTGATCACGCACTGTCCGCTCGAGAATCACTGGCTCGCTATAGCATCGCTCACCGCGGTAAACTTATTCACGGGGCTTGGAATCATCAACACCCCTAAGTTCCGGGGTTTATTCACAGGCGTGATCAGCTAGGTTTGAGAAGTTGTGCATCCATTTCATAGTTGGTACTGTCAACTGGAGCTCGAGAAGGCTCACTAATTGGGGTACGAACTTACTGGCCAGAAAGTTTGTGTTACAACCACAACCCCGGCATCTCGACTGTTCTTGTCTAGGCCTGGGCGACTTGGCAGTAGCTCAGTCCTCGTACTTTTTTTGGATGGCATGGCACAGGTGTGCACTGAAAGGGTGTTACATCTGAACGATTATCATTTGATAATAACTGCTAAATGTCATAGTGATCATGAAAAACTGGATTGACCAGTAGGTGTGTTGAGCTGCACGTAAAGTCTAGAATGAACTTGAGAAACTCAAAGTACAATTGCAAATCTTCCAGTTGTTCGCTGTCAGTTTCGTCTAGTAGCAACCAACCTCTCTGGTTGTAACTAAATCACCCACGGTCCGTTTGAGAACTGCTTGCAGTCGGAAGTAGCCACTGGAACTATGAGCCATGTTCATATTACCTGGAAGCACACCGCGGAACCCTCTAGCTATTGCGGTTCTGAAGCTATTCACCCATGGAGTCAACGAGAGCGATCAAGCAGCAGAGGTAAGGTGGTCTCTCAAACGGACTGACTCAGCTCGGAAAGAAACATGGCTATGGAGCGCAGCCCACAAATCACTGTGTAACAGCTGTGTATTCGCAAATCATTTGGAGTAGATGAACAATTTTAAAAAAAAACGGAACTGAATTACTTGCACTCCTAAAAGTTCCGGAGTACTGAGTGCAGTTTGCCTAATTTGGAAAGTAATCTGTCCGAAAAAGAAATACTTCAAATATAGTAGGTAAAGTCAGTGCGATCGTATCCATTCCTCGATTGAAGACAAAAAAATGAGTTTACATTCTCTATCTCTTTCTCTCTGAAGCATCCGAACCTATGGTGACCACACTTCCCGGAGATGGTTTGCAATTCGATGGGTGTTTAGGATACACCACTGTTCATATCGCAACATTCATGTGTGTTTCCAACGTGTGTTTCGTCGTTGTTATCACAAAAAACGGCCGTCCAAATACAATTTTGTCAGAGTTGATGGGTATAATCCGTGTAGGACGAACCACACCGAGAATATCTACGATGGGTTTTCGCATACGCTACACGGACACACTAAGCATGCATGTTTGTCAGTTGATGGGCTGCCTCACAGTGCTATAGATAAGCGTGCCTCAAAAAGGGGATACAAAATGTCCATTCATCTAAATACAGAAACCCAGGTGCGTGTGGAGGGACTGAAGACTAAATTTTACGCAGAACTGAAAAAAAGTATTGGAAGTTGCGGAACTGGGAGAGTCATGAAAAGACTATGATGCGGCCAGAAGAGGCAAGAACAACCATAAGTAAGAGTATGTGAAGCGTACAGGTACCATAGAACGACATGACTGATGCTTCTTATATACCAACTTGACCACAAATAACACCGCCTCAAGAACTACCGAGCGAAAAAGACGCATCAGGACCCTCTGAGAAGTGTTTGTTTTTCAGGAAGTCGTACACTGATGGTTGTCCAGAAACGTTTTTTTAAATTTTCTAGAAAAGTGAGCTTCTATTCGAGTGATATCGCTTGCTCGAGAAAGAAGAAAAGCACTGTTGACTGCGTTCTTAAACCTGAACAAAGGCCCCGATATAGACTGTCTCTGGAATCCTATGTGGGAGCGCACAAAGCAACCATAATCTGGTCGACCACGTCACATCCAGTAGCATGGGGTGGGCGGTCAAAGAGCCATTCAAGCAGTCCAGCAAGATAAAACATTCTCAGCGAGTGGTTATAGACACTTAGTATAACTTGGTAGAGATCCAGCGTGGAGCCACAATATGAAACAAAAATGTTCAGCTTACTTGTCAACCATATAATCTGATTGCGATTGAAAACGGTGCAGAAACCCTTCACGATGTGCTGCACGTTCAATTAGCTCATTCATCGCCAAGTCCAATTGTTCTTCGAATCGCTCGATGAGTTTTCCTCGAGTTTCTGCCACCAGCTGAGCCAATATTGCTTGATGTAGCACTTCGCCCACCTGAGGTTTGTGTGATTCCACGGAATTTCCCATCGATTCCGAACGGATGTCTCCTTGAACTGCTAATGAATTTGACTCCGTCAAAGAACAGATGTTTTCATCAACCTGTTTGTGACTGCGACGTCGAATTCGTTTTGATTCACTGTCTGCACTGTCCATGTTGGCTGAGTATCGGAGTGAAGAGAGGTCCTAAACGAGCTGAAAAATTCAACCGTAATATTATTTTGGTTACAGCTGACACTTTCAGTATGATGAAAGTTTAAGTTATTGTCAGACAATCACGTCATTCGATGGTTTTAACTGGCACACTAGGGTGTGTGTAATCTACAGACGTTATCGATCAAACATCACGTGAACAGGGCCAAATAACCGAGTTGTGCGTGACAGTTCATGTGCACGACAGTTCACGCGCGTTCGCCAACATGGTGGGTGCGCACGCACGGTGACTTATCGTAACGAAGGAGACGGATGTCAAAGTGTCAAATAGATCAACTCGTACCAGTGCAAAATATGAACTCAAAAGTCAAAAATTAGATGGCAGCGGACACTCTAAGTAGATGAACAGGAACAAGCCAACACCGTCAATTTTTCTGGAGGAAATACACGGGCTATGCGACAAACGTAAAGGCAAACTCTGTTGCTGTTACCTAGTGATGAATCTATAAAAAAAATTTCAACATCGCCGAAACAACACAAATTTGCAGCGCAACTTCGAAGAAAGTGTGGCGAAGTACAAACACTTTTATTGTAAATTCCGCATCAAATCAATTGTGTGCCTAAATCACTGGTCACTGAGTCATTGCCAGAACGACAAATAACTGGGGTGAGTCAATTTCTAACCTCGAAGGCGGAACCAATCTATGCTGACAGGCCGCCATTGGTGTCCCCCCCTCAAATATTTGGGAGACTCAAATCAACGAATTTCCGGTCAGCAAGTGAAAACTCTACCACATGGGCATGATTAGTTGAGCATCAGAGCGACTAGCTCACTGCAAGACACGATATGGGGCCACTCATCCCTCAGGCAGGCGGTTCCCTACAGGGGCTCACATTCTTACTGGTCCCTTGTTCAGCCGTGGCATCCTTTCGGTGCCTGACTTACACTCCAACTGAAAAAATTAAGGGGGCTAGAATACTGCTGGGTTACCGAAGCATATACAGAAGCCGTAGATTTAGACGTTGGAATAGAATCATGGCCTTTGGTCGGAAGGTTTGTGCCTTAACCACTTGGCTATCTCCAGACAAGCGACGAATTCTCACACTGAAGAATGGACCTTCAGGAGTTCTTCCATCCTGGGTATATTACTTAAAGCTCATAGGTGGCGGAGATCCTGAAGTTTCCATCATCGATGCAATCCAAGCTAAATGAAAACGACAGGAAATTTATTTGGAACTGACTTCGCTAGACACAGTTCCGTTAACTCGAATCCACACAACTTGTCCACAACTATGTCTTGCGGCTTTGGAATATCTAAACCTCTGACTCCGGAATGTGAGTTCCAAAAATGACAGATCGACTTTGGCTTGCACCTATTTGGCACTTATTAGGTCGACTTTGGCTTGCACCTATTTGGCACTTTGGAACTTATTAGAACAGACAATATTCTTACACCTATGAAAGCCGAATAAGAGGAAACTAACTGTATTAGTGTATAAATTGATCACCTGACAGACTCAGGACATACAACATGCGTTTGGATGATCGTTTTCCATCTAATAACACACCGAAGCTAAGGGACACAAGCTGAGATGACACAAGTCACTGATTGTGCGTGATTCTCTTCAACGACTCCCCCCTTTGTAATCCCTAGGTTCTGCGTGAAACTCAAGCGCCTGATCCGCGTCCCGACTCTGCAATTAGGAACTCTTTTTCGACAGTAGATATCCTTCTGTCCCTTTTACTTCAATTAGTTCCCGCTCATCAAAAGGACAAAAGGCAACGTAACCCGTTCATCCTGATAGGCGATGAGTGCAAAGCATTTAGAACATATTTAGCATACGCCTGGGAATCGGTAGCTCTCACTAGATGGTTGAAACAGAAGTTACAGGAGAAACCTGGGAATGCACTAGCAACTACTAGTAAAAGAAGTTCTGTGTTTTTCTATTTTCTCTTGTCTTGACACTATGCCCGCACCTCGCAGCGAACAATCCGCAAGTTGATATCAACCAATTTCGACAACCGTGAACAGGCATATAGTCACTGAGTAATTAGGATGAGTTTTTTCACTTTTCAGAAACTCATGCTTCACTTACGAAATCCTCCTTAAGCCAGCATGTCTCCTTCTTACTTCGAGAGCGGAACCGTTGGCGGACTGGAGAATCCTAAATGCAGTATCGTATCGAACAAAATACTTCAATATCATAAAGAATGTTTTAGTTGAAACATTCCGCAGGATTAGTGCAGTAGATGGAACTGAAGAAAGTCATGAACGCGCCTTATTGGGGTCTGAAGTTAACATTTTAACCAGAAAATGACCATGTGACTGCACTTGATGTTCAGTTAAGAAATTCGGGGAGTACGACTACCTGATGAACATCAGAGAGGCAAAGCCGCTAGAAGGTTGTCAGCCTTAGACATAGTATCATGTCAAAGGTGCGGTTACTTTCAGAGAGGTTTGGTAAACAATCGATGGATTTATTGCTGGGCAACGTTTCGCTTTTGACACAAAAGCTTCGTCAGGCCAATTGAGTAAGTAAGTAGGTTGATTGGGTTTTTAAGGCAGTCAGGAAACCAATTCGTGAGATTCTTTGTGACTTGATCAGTGCTGGGTAATCAGTCTGATGTTCCTGTTTGTTGGTTGGTGGGAAAAACTAAGATTAACGATAGATTGCTAATAGCAATTCTGTACTGCAGTGAGTCATCGAGTTAAAGACGGACACAGCCCTTTGAAAGGTTGGAGCGAACATGTACGTGTTGAAAAGCTTTGCTTGGCAGATAACGTTTGACCGCTTCCATTGACAACGAAATAACCGAAAAAAGCATTAGAAGATTCTCAAGAATTTAACTAACAGAATCAAAGAGAACGCTGTACTGCAATTCATTGCCATGAGGTCAAACGGAAAGAAAAATAGGGATAACCGTTTTGGTGCTGTCTCAAATTAGAACACGGTTTTATAAATAAATTTGTAAAGTTATCTAATGTTCGATGACCAAGGGTCAATTTTGTCTGTGAAGTAGACAGAAAATTTACTACAAATTATCGTTGATTTTTATATCAGACTACTACTCGAACGCTGAGTGAGGAAAACTTGACGCACAAGCTCCATCCAACCACCCCCTTTGAATCTATGTCCAGAAAATCGCCTATTTCTAACTGCATGATTAAAAACTGGAGTCGGAACATGATAACTCACTCCGGTGGAAGCGCAGCGGTTTTCACACCACATCCGCGGGTGCGCAAACCGTCAAATGAGGTAGTTAACCCTGGTCGTGCGCACTGTCCGGAGTCCCGTTGGAGGATTCAGGGCCGCCTTTCCGTTGGTCAAATTAGATCGCTTGGTTCCGATGCCGCTCGTCGCTCAACGCTGATTGGTTCACGAACAGCCAAGGTCGCCGTCCAAACGGCTTGCATCGTGTCGCCCTGCCTGTGTCGAGACTTGTGGGCGGTGGATTGAAATCCGACCGTGTGGATTAGACGAAGGCGAGTGCAAGTGCGACTGCACCCAAGGAGAACACAGAAAATTGGTGTTGGAGACCCTCGGTGGTAGCGAAGCCCGATGTATCGTAGATGTACCGTGCGCCCCTAGTCACTGGGCTGACAGGGCTGCTGAGATTACGGAATCGCGGTATTGTAGGGGGGATCTTGTCAGCAGGGTTGTTGGAGGACTTGTTACAAGAAGGAAAATGTGATTTCTGATAGCTTCTGAATAGTTCCATACGGTTTCTGAATTGTCCCCAGGTTGGACAGCAAGCATAGACTCTACCGTAACGTTAATAATTAGTAGAGCCGAGGCAGAACAATCACTTCAGCTGCGGGAATCATAGGGCTATGTTAGAGCAATACGGCGTGATATGAAGCACGACACTCCTTTCAGAGGAGGTGCACCGCCCGAAAGGAAGTAGCATTTGTAACAGTCGAGTGGTCTTGCATATTTGACTCTTCATCCATTACCCCACCCAACATCGGACACCTCATGACGGATCATCATGTCCTTAAGAGAGTTCATGTTCGATAACGGGACTTGTGGCACTCTAGCAAACATGAGCACTGGTGTCGTCCACTCTGACACATCCAGTATGACCTTTGAGCACATCAGCTTTTGTAGAGCCTTACCGTGTCCCACCAGAACGATGTTGTAATGTTCTCCGAAAGTCAACAAATCAGCTTACATCTGGCTTAACATGAAGTGGGTTTCCGGCAAAAAACGAAGCTTCTAAACTATGTGCTAGTTGTTAGAAAATACAGGAAATGTTTTCAAGCAGATGTTTGGGGTGTGGTGATCTCTTTGCTTAACAGATACTTCAGAGGACCAGGGTGAAACATAGTGGTACGTTTTTCCGAGCTCATGCGCGTAGAGACTCAGTGGATTCCGGGACTTTCAGCTAGCCAGGTTTAGATTCTCTCATATCCCATGACTCAGCTTACCTGATGAGCTTCAGACAGGACCTTGGCGGACTGTCTACGGATTCTGAACTGATGTCCAGTACTACTCATAGTGATACGCAGTTCGCACCTTTAGAAAGGGAACTCACACTTCCAGGTTTTCAGCTAGCCAAACAGTCCTACTCAACAAAGAGTTCAAAAAGATGCTGATATATATGAGAGCTGTATACACCAGTTTGGATACGCTCTTATTTGGGGATAACTTATGGCCATTGGTTGTTGGTTGATCACCAGTTTAGGTGGCCCCCGAACGGCATAATTTTGAGGCTTGATTGGCCTTGAGATCTTGACCCGAGCTGACGATGGGGAAACAGATGCCTATTGTATTCCCCGCTGCTTCCTTTCCTTATCGTGATCATCGATAAACTGTGCAACATGTGACAGGTGGTGTTGAGGCTAGATAAGACGGACAGCATGACGAAATCATCAGACCTTGTTTGATGCTGTACCCTCCAGGTATGAAGTACCACCTTTCTTGGCGGGTCGTATTCCTGTCCTCCACAGCCTGAAACGGTCAACTCTCTTGAACATATCAGGCTCTGTTGCCTCATTACACACGCTATCCTCAGATATTCCGTCTTTGTTACATCGACGTACACAGTCCAACTGGTTCGAAGTGGTCATTTTCACTGTGTTTCTTGCTGTTTGCTAGTCATTCCGAAATCCAGTTTGGTGTCTAACAAGATTGTGGAAATATCTGCTGGTTATCGGGTTGCGACACTTGACGTTTCTGACCCGATCGATACTACGCACAAAAGTTTAGTCAAATTTCAATCACATTTTACCTTCAAAGGCGAACGATTGACAAAACACTGCGAATCGAAAATTAAAAAAAAAACATAATGGGAGATCGGTAGTAAGAATAATGGATACATCTGGCAGTCTTGGATATTTATAAGTAAATATAATGATGTTCATATAATTAAGCGGATTCTGCACAGCTGAGTAACCGGTCAAGGAGTACGTTTGGAAACTTCACAACTTTCACCAGTGGTTGCTTTGATCGGCAGTTAACATGAGCTCGTGGGTTCATATCACATCACCATCGGCCGTCACCAAAAGGCTGGACAGTGAACTGATTTGATGATTAGCGCGTTTCTGTGACAAGGTGAGCGTTAGAATTTATGCCAGATGTGTTTTCGCAGGTGACTTGACATCGATTCGACAGATGTTGATCGAAATAATATAATATAATATAATATAATACAATATAATATATAGTTTTTACTGGGATTGGCAGTGGGGAGTTGCTACACGTATGAAAATAAATGCAATGCGAAACGGAAGCAGTTCGAAAAAGGAACTTACCGTTGGTGAGAGTCCCTTGTTGAAAGTCTGGACGGCGGGAACGTGTTTTCTCCGCAGTATGACTGCTACACGTGTTCCACAGTTGTCCGTGGACCTGTGGAGAGTGGTTGACTTCCTGCTCCCTGCGCGCGCGCGAGTCTGTGTTTTGACCGAGTTCGGTTTCCCTATATGTAGATCCGTTTGCGTGTACGTGGGCGTTTCAGCACCATGAGTAGTTGCTACGCTCACTAGGCGGTACAAACAGTCGATGTCAGATGAGTCATCTTTGTGTGACGTGGTTTGTGAGCGTAGAAAAAAGACGAGTCTCGTGATCGAGTGAGCGACTCTGGGCTGAACAGTCAAGTATGTGGATGAAGGGATGTGTATAGGCTATACTCGTACGAAGTCTAGTCTTGCATACCGGGGCGATCTGCGGTTACAGATCTGACCAAGCTAGGGGACGGATGTGTGGCGACTTAGTGTTTGAGAAAAAACACTGTGATTTTTCAACAAAAATGGCCTCATAGCAGAAGGGTAAAGCTTTGGATGAGGGACCTCATCGTCTTGCTCTCTAGGTCTGGCTGAATTGGCAATAGCCCAGACCAAGTATATCCTCGATTCCACTGCAGCAAAGCATCAGTTTCAAATACTGATGTGCTGCTGGTGATAACGATGAGCCAGAATGAAAAGTGCCGGGACAGGAAGTGATAATTTTTCATTGGTATGAACACCAGTGGGACCTTTACGTATTACCATCTAATTGGACGTCTTTATTCGGGGGTCTCAGTATCATGGTGATCACTGGCCAGCTGAAGCTTAGTTCATCACTGAGTTGCGTTCCTCTGGGTGCGTACATAAGCTTCGGGGGGGGGGGGGGATCATCGGCCCATCTGTCACACAAACCCTACCTGCCCCCTATCTAGGACGGATTAGTTTGACTAACCGTATACATGATAGGGAGATAGTGAAACGGAAAGTTTGTCGGTGATCTGATGAGAAGGGTCAATTAGTAAGGAGTCTGGCATGTGAAATGGAACCCAATCACAGTGCCTAAAAGTGACCCAGGTTTACCGAAACTCAGTCTCACCAAAAAATCACCTACAAAACATTTGCCGTTAAATTGCCGTACTATAACTAAAAGTATCCTCCTTGGATGTGCCTGACCAATATCTTGAGACTAGGAGCTTTTCCTAGGCAAATTTGTCCTCGTGAGTTGTCGAAGACTTGTCCGTGTCGTTTAATGGATGCTCCGGTTCTCTGCATTTCCGGTTTGTGGCTCCAGCTTCTTGGAGTTAGTCAATTCCACTCTGAGTATTCATTCACACAGAACGAGCAGTTTTTCTTGTTATTTTGGTATAAATCATTTTTTCCGCAACACCTCTGAATCCTCTTGGTCATATTAAGGCTTCCGGAAGTCTTTAAGAGACGTCTTTATCATACGGTAGGTTTGTTCAATCGGTCCCAAAAGGAATATAAAAATGACCCAATGTTCCATTAGGCTGTCCTGAGCAGTGTACAACATTCGAGGTTTCGCTCCGACATAAAGCACGGGATACTCCAACCTGGCTTCGAATCGCCTTTAGACTTTTATCTGGACGATTTTGTATTCCAGTTGACTCAGGTGCAAAATACTATCGGTATGATTTGATTCCGCGCTAACCATGGCAAACGTGGGAAGTAGTCGGGTGATATTATCTATTTATGTTGAAAGTGGGGGCATCTCAAGCCATTTATTTCTTTGCTGACATGAGTAATTTTTCAAGTTGCTTGCCAAATGTTGTCGCCCTCAAAGCTTGATTTACGTGAACTATTAACAGGGCATAGATGAGATCGGGGGAGGGGGTTATCGAAAGTTACATGGAATTCGGGATTCCCATTTTGCCATTACTCCACTACTGTTCCACCCTGGGTGTAATATATTTTTCCGTGTTGACCTACTGAAACTATAAAGTTCAGCCACTATGGAACAGAAAGGTTTTTGACTAAGCACATACCAGCGTCTGACAAAGCAAAGATTACAGAACTCATTGGTAGTGTATGCTGGGACTGACACTGATGAAGTGAGTGACGTTCATCTGAAAGAAGAAATCGTTGTAACAACTGCAGGGTTTGTATCCTTCATGCGAGCTAGTGAACTGTGTTATTCAGCGCGGTACTTTCGACCACCTGAGGTAGAAACTAGTAGTAAAAGTCTGCACAGTGCAGGGCATCATGGGACAGTGGTAATGGACAAACATAGGAAATACGACGTTGTTCATTTTGCACTTTTTCATCAAAGTGCTAACCACCTTAATGGGCGTCATTGTTCGGAACTCGGTTGGCCCGATAACAAGGTCAGTCATGAGGGCTTTTTGGAAGCACCGTCACTTTGCACACAACGGATCAGACCGATCGCGGCAGCATACACGACGGGAACTGTGTTAATCGATGGAGTATTCTGAAATGAATAGAATAAAGACGTCATTAAGGGATGACCCCTACAGCTCTAGCTTAACAGCAGATTTCGTACTGAGCCCCCACAGACGTGGGGGGTACAAGTAGAGTCGTACTATGTATGTGCGACCTGAAACATGAAGTTTCCAACTATCACCTCCTTCAAGGTTAATCAGAGTTGTTGGCTTATTCGCTTGTGATCCACAATCAGCCAGCTTTTTCATAATTATGTGCCGTGACCAGTAGTATGATGAAAACCCCTTGGTTGCGCTTATTCGAGGA